TCCTTAGATTCAGTTTTAATAAATTTATTTAATAGTGCCTGTTTTGCAGTGAGTTTTTCCTGAAGAGATGGATTATTGTAATCATCATTTTCCAATTCAGTTATTTCCCGACAAAGTTCATTTTTGATATTTCTATAGTTGTTGCACAGCTTGGCGGTATATTGTTTTGTTAGTTCTTTTGAATTAGTTTTTCCCATGTCCCACCATGTTTGAATATGAGTGAAACATGGTTTCTGCTTCCACCATTGGAGCCAGTACTCGGATAAAATTTCACAATAATCATCATCGCGTAACAGACTTGTGTTAAATATCCAGACGGGATTTTGATTACATATTTTTGTGAATGACAAGTTTATAATAACGGGAGCACAGTCTGAGAAGTCAAAGTGTTGTTTTATGGAGGCATGCTTTATCCTCATGATCATAGACTTGGAAATATAAAAAGGAATTGAGTCGTGATTTTGACTGATTGTGTGACCATGAAAACTGCTTAGCTGTTGGATTAAAGTGACGCCATGAGTCAGTGAGTTTAAACCGTTTAGTGATATTGAGAAGCAGATGATGGTTGGTGAGGTTCGTCATTGTTAAACCTGTCCATATTGGGCCATTTAGCGTACAGTTGAAATTTCCCCCCATGATAATAGGGTCAAACTCAAGCCCGTTTAACAAATGTTTTAGTGAGGCAAAGAAAGCAACACGCTCCACAGCCACGGTGGGAGCATACACGTTGATCAAGTGAAACCGAGAACCATCAATTTCTATGTGCAAGTGAAGCAGACGACCAGGGACGGCGTTGGTAATGTTGAGAACATTTATATTTTTATTTGGATGAAACAAAATTGTAACACTAGAAGCATGTGTGCTTTCATGAGAAAAGAATGCAGGCGCGCGCCATACTACTTTCCAAGTGTACTCATCAGAAGCAATTGTGTGCGTTTCCTGTAGAAAATAAAAATCACTTTTATAACTGGATTTTAGAATATGAAACATTTGGTATCTCCTAAGTGAATCCCGGCAGCCTCGGATATTCCATGTAACACAGGTAACATTAGCCATGAGCAGACAAAGACAGAATAAGACAAACCAATTCATAATGATATGCAAGATCAGAACAATATTCAAAACATTGTATTAGTGCTTTGGTTTTCCACCACCTTGCTTGCAAGGTAGACCACGGCGTACGTTCAGTATGTCATTGTCCGATTTTTCATGTGCGCTTATAGCAATCTCTTTGTTTTTAATTGTTAGCTCCCGTGAAACGGAGCTTATGTGGTACTGGTGTCTGTGACTCTGTGACTAAAATTTGTTCCACTGATAACTCTGATCTACAATTTCAATTCAAATGAAATTTGGCACACAGCTAATATGTAGATGCGCTGATTAGATTTTGGTGCAATTCCATGCATATTAATTAGTCAATTATTGCATTAATTAATTTATAACTTAGAGTCTTTAAAGTTTCTTAACAAATATTTGACTAGGGTGAGTAGCTTAATTTGCATATTGCAATAACGTAATCTGTCACACAAAAAAATGGTAATATTTCATTGGAAGGTCTGCAAATTTGCGAATTTTAGTATAAAGTGTATAATGATTTATTATATCATGATGGATGTTATTTGAGCAGATACAGCGACTAAAAACATCAAATGTATGCGAGTATGGGGAGTACATATGCGCAGTTACAAGAGTGACACAGCCATTTTTTCAGTTTGACGAAAAAGCAATACCCTTTCTGATTTTCATGAACGCAAGTTCAATTTCACTTTGTGCGTCACATTCATCAATAGACAAAATCGAAGACAGATGTCGTACAACTTTCTGCCAATCTTGATTCGTAAATGTGCTGGTTACATGTACAGTGTTCTCCTCAGGCCTGCGTCTCTTAGACAATAGCCGCGTAACTTTTGTTTCGCCCGCGATTCTGCAGTGTTCTCATCAGGTCTTTTAAGGGTATCGGGTCTGATACTGTTCTTTCTTTCCACGATACTGTTTTCCCTCAAGCTGGGCCATTTCCAGGCCATTGTTTTGCAATGATGAATCAGAACAGAACAATTCGTGTGAACTGATCGATCCTAACTTATTATCTGGATACTCGTATTCACCTGCGGATACTTTGGCCTAATTTCAAGCATGAATATAGAAGAAAATCAATGATTTTTTTTCAGTATCGTTCCAGATTTTGCAAGAAATTTATATAATAATCACAGTGATCACTACTATTGGGTTCAAAAATTATTTATGATCATTCAACCCAGTACTGACCTTCACCGCTATTGCGACGCCACGAGCAAAGAAAAGGAAAGCTGAATCCCCGCGTCTACACTTAATCCATATATATAAGGCAGACACCCGACAGCAACAGCAAAGAAGTTTGTCAGTTTTATTCAAGATATAAATTTTCTATTTTACTCATTGGAGTTACACAACATGACTGAAAGCTCTTCCAATGTGATCTAATTTGTAAACAATCTCTTTGCACACGACTCCCAGTGTCTTCTCCTCGAGCAGACAGTAATGTTTCACATTTTTTTTCGCATGGTTTCCATCTTCCTCAAATAAAACGAAGCAGTTGATTCCTATTTTACTTAGTGTTTATTCTTGTTTGATATTTTTAAACAAAAATGCACTCATTAAACAAATAGTAAATATGCGAGTTTTTTGTTTTTGCCGAACGAGGACAAGGAAGACAAAATGGCGGTAGTTTTGTGTAGGTAGTATTTTTTTTTGAGCGATAATTTGGTAGCAATTAAACAAATTTCAATCATTGGCGTATGTAAGGGCTGGATCACTTACTTTCAAGGGCTCAAAGTCCGAACGAACATTAAACTACGAATTTTTTATTTATCTGTTCTAGGTATGTTGTACAGACTTTTAGTTGTACTACTACTTCGCTAATGACACTAATTACCAAGAATTAAAAAAAAACAAGTGAAATTAAGTCACATTGGGAAAAAAAACCATAAGAAAATCAAAGCAAAAATTATTCAACTGCAGACGAGACAAACCCAGACCTCTAGAAATACCTCATTCATAGAGTGCCTCATTAGTACCCTTTGTTTACAAGTATAGTGTCCTTGCATGTTTTTCAAAATGCCCATATCAAAATCATGTGTTTCCATATACAGTATGTCATAGATTCTCAGACATCTTGATCAATTTTATTGATGGATTGACCTACATGCAATTACATTCACTTATTAGGCAAAGCCTATACCTTTATAATACGGGAGCTATTTACAGTTTAACTTTGATTTTTTTATAGTGAGACTTAAGTCTAGAGAGCATGCGCATAACACATGCTTTATCTTTGACTGGCATCTCACAATTTTTTTTAACATTAATGATAGATCTGATAAGTAAAGCAAGGTCGGAGCAAAAACCAAGTGCAAATTCAACAATTCTTTTGTTGTTATATGACTTTTTAATGAAAGCCAACACTGACGCTTGATCTAACAGTTTGTCTTTAGCTGAATCACTAGTACTCATTTAAGATATATCAGAAATGTCTGATGAGAGAGACTCTGCATCATCCCCATCATCAGGGGGGGGGGGGCTACCATGTTCGTCAAACGTGCTGTCAAAGACATCAATAAATTGTGAGACTGGACCAGAGGTTGAGGCCACCACAGAAGCAAAGGAAGGAGAACCTGAAGTTGTAAAAGAAACCTCGTCAGCAGACTGAGTGACGGACAAGGGCCGGGTTAGTACAGACTTCTCAATGGTATTTATGCCATTCCATGCTGATTGACAAATCATCAGTTACTACGTGGGTCATATCCCATAATATTTTTTAGTTGATTTTGAGAATCAGGAAAGTCATTCGCATTATTGTTTGCATGTACAACTGACTTGTGTTTTTTATTCACAATGCTCACGTTATTAGTTTCATTATTTTCAACATCATTATTAATATTTTTAATTGTTGATTTATTTTGAGTGTCATTAGCAAATGTGTCCACGTCAATCGGATTTTTCCAGGGTTCATCCATAATATTTTTAACAGCTTTGATGACCTCAGTGTCGGGGTCTATATTGTTTTCAGTAATATCGTTTTCAATGGAATTATTTGCATTAGGTTTATCATTTGTTTTTTGAGTATGTTTGTTTATGGTTCGATTCTGTCGATCGTTTACATTATCGTTATTTGTTTTATGTATGGTTGTGTTGGTTTCACTAGTTAAACTGATAGTGTTTTTCACAGTAGTATTTACATTATTATTTTGTTGACGGCTTTCGTCAACTGTATTTGTAGTATTATTCGCAGACACGTCGTTTGAACGACAATTCTTCTGGATGTGTCCTTTTTTAAGACATTTGTTGCAGATAATATCGTCCGATGTCACATAAATTCTGTATAATCGATTTTTATGTTTTAAAATAATGATATCGTAAATTTTGTCCCATATGAAAATTTGTGTTTACAACTTGTTTTCAATCCGTGTCAAAAACGTGCTCAGAATGGTAATTTTGTGCACGTTTTCGACAAGGCTTATCAGCCACCTCAAGTGCCAAATCCATGAAATAAACAAGCAATGTCAATAGAGTAGCCTAGGTGTTAAAAATGGATTAAGTTCTGGCAAACCAACTTCTGCATAGGTACATGTATGTCTCTAAACGCTTGCTTTTTGGTTGATTTAGTCATCTTTTTTGAACTCAGAAGCCCGCAAAACCTAATATTACATGTGAGAACGAAACAAATCCGTCAAGATATCACGTTTTCCCGTAAAAGGGATGCTGGCTGTACCCTCTCTGGACTCCCTCCCCGCGTATACTAGTACTGGTACTACCATGGATTAGTACCTTCCATGGTACTACCAACTCTAACCATGTCCCCCATTTGGTGACGCATGTCAAGCTATAAATGGGCATCAATACTCATTTCGCCCAATATTTCGCTTTTATAAAATTTTATAACATATCACTTAATTTCCGACCGGAAAAACGACCATGTTTTTATCCCTTTTTTTTCTCACTCACTCATTAAAAATACTGGCCACTTGTTCAAACACTGAACACTGGCACATGAGTTGTTGAAATGGCTGTTTTAGTGCTAAAGTTTGAGGATTCAACGAGTATTAACCATTATTTAATTTTGAACGACACTTCCAAACCATCGAACGTAACTTAAACTATGACCTCTTGTTATGTGAACGTTCCACAACAAGCTGAT